GCCGTTTCTGTATCTTCGTTTACCAATTGGACATATCCATACTGGTTTGAGAACTTCGCGTCATCCGATTCATAGCTTCCAGAATTACTTTTCTCAATAGAACTTGAGGCATTACTGCCACCTGAACTCTCACTAGAAGCACAGTCCCAAACAATTACTTTTTCTTTATGTTCATCAATAACACTGTCATTGTTAACACCTTGTAAAATTGTTTGAGGCTGATTAAGATTCGACCCCTGGTTTGTAATGGCTTCTGCAGCTTCTATTACACCACTGACACTATCACTATCGCTGCTATCATCACCACTACTAGTACTGCTGTTCTTTTCATCTGAGATGCATTGTTCAGATCCTTGGTCAGACAGTGCCTCTTCCTTGATACTAGGAAATGGTGCTTGAAACCTCTGTCTTGTTGTCAGTTTACTGTTGGGGTCAGTTGCGCTAAATGATGCCAATTGCTCAGGTTTTGTTTCTACAAAGGGAAAAGTCACATTAGTTAATAGTTTTTGTTTCAGACTTACATGTAGGGCAAAACAATTCTTCTTTAAAAAAGGTGAAAGCCAGTGCAAATCAAGATTTTGTCTAATAACACATTCTTTCACTTATTATTGAATTACACAGAAAAAGTGTACAAGTGTTCTTCTTTAAACTCTTTAATTAATTAAAAATGAAGGGATTGTTGTTAAGAAGTTGTTGACATTGATTTCTGTTCTGGACATCATTATCATCCTGAATTACTCACACCCACCTTCTTCCTTCTCCTCAAACTCATCTAATAGCTTGTCAAGGTCTACTGGAACAAAGGGACTAGCCATACTACCTCCCACTTATCAACAGCTTCTGAAGGGATTACTGAAGGGCAGTGGTAGTTGATCAATCATACCTGTAACATCAAAGTTTGGAGCAGCTTCAAAATACCCCACTACCTGTCAGAACACTTCAAAGAACAAGCATAATTCAATAGGGACCTTTGTTATTGACATACCTGCCAACTATCATGCATTATGTGCGAGTCTCATGCCTGCTGACTAAAGGCATTGGTCTCACGCATCAAGAACTATTTCTCATGCCTGACTCACAAATCCGGACAAATTGTTCTTTAATACACGATTCATGACAAAAATTCAATTCAATTTCCACAAAAATATTCCAAAAGGACCCTTATATACATGTATATAGGTTGACTAAGTTGTATCCTAACTGTTTCAGAACATGCTAAAATTGTTGCCTTTTAAACAGCTTTGGGGATGCTCAAAGGTCATCAGAACATCTTTGTACATTTTCTGCAAAGACTGGAAGTCTTCAGAAAATTGTCAGAAATCTTCAGAAGTTGCTGGGACAAAAATCTCATGTGTTTGACTCAGAGAAAGTATATATTCAATGAGATGCAAATAAGAGGTGGGGTATTCTCAAGTTAATTTAGGTTCCTTCTGCGGAACCGAGGTGCAGATTATGTAAAACAAAAGATATCAAACAACCAAACAATAAAGCCCACAGGAAAACTATATTGTTTGGTTCCTTTGATTCTCTTGTGATGATGGTACTTGCAGAAAGACACGAAGTTAACAGCATAAAGTTGTAGCTCAATGTATATTTTGTAGCTACTTTTTTTACCTCAGATAATTTTTTGTTTTTCTTTTGTTTTTGGGTATGGTAATGTATGCTAATGAAGTTGAAACAAAAGAAAAAATAAAAATTACCTGGGATAAAAAATTAACTACAACATATATAATGTACCTATGAGGAGCAATGCTGTTAGTAGCTTAGACTGTACAAAAACATACCTTACTTCATGACGAAAAAGTGCACTTCACATTGATTGAATGCCAGTACAGGCTGTAAGCTATACTGATGAGCTACAGTTGTACAATTGAATTAAAGGTACATGCACCACAACAACAACAGTAACACACATAATAATGTAGCTTTTGAAGAGATCTTGCAGATTATAACATAACTTAAGATGCAATGGCTCTAACACAGCAATAACATGGCACAAAAAGTGACTGACGTTCATTTAAATAATAAGCTTACCTCTTCTTCCACAGCTTATATTTCCACAGCCCAGCCATTGTGAAACTGAAAAATATAATTTGCAGACCGGCCAGCTCTCGTTCAATACAAAAGTATTAAGTAGTGTCTTAGGCAATAAACACAAAGAAATCTTCATCCTTCCTAAGACGTAAACATTACCAGCGATCAACGGTCAACACAAGCTATTGTGTCAGGTGATTGGTATTAAAAATGACAATACAGGCCGGATTTGACATTGCGGAGTGACATTGCATATCTGTTTCAAAGAGAATGGAACGATCGATTCCTCAAATAACAGATCTCCACTATTTACTGGAAAATTGCACACTACAGCGTTCAATAAGCACTACTAACGTATTGCGAAACAAATATTCGCAGCCAAAAAATGGACTAGCTTATTAAAAAGCCCTCCATTCACTGGTCACTTGAACTTTGCATAGATTTTTGTCGTTTCAGCCCTGATGTATTACAAAACCTTGTAAAAGCAACCGAAATTTCCACAGCTAACCTTGTGCAAGACCTTAGTAACTCTGCATATTTCATTTCACGTCAGTTCCTTGTAAAGATGCGACATTTTCCTCTACCTGCGAATCTTAACACGACTGCTACGTAAAAATAAAACACAACTAATTGAGCCCACTAATTATTCAGCGGTCCTGAGATGAAGGAACAGACAGGCATGTAACCCACAACAAAAAGTGCCCGCTGGCAAGGGAGGGCACTTCACGAGCGTTCCATCTAGGGTATTTGAGGTGTAGAAGCTCTAGACCCCCCCCCCCCCCCCCCACCAAAAAAAAAAAAAAAAAACACCCCCCCCACCCACAAAAAAAGACCAAAACACCCAAAACCACTCCACACCCTTCCATGTCACAACCCACTACCACCACCCCAACCACCCAACCACATCACTCAAAATCACGACAACATCCCTATTCTCCCGGGCACGCTGGAGCAGCATGGCGCACACATCCGTGGGGTTGAGGGGGGAGCAAGCACACACACCCGCCCCCCCCCCCCAAAAAAAAAAAAAAATTGCCCAGCCGCCCTGCAAAAAAGACATTGCACACACCGTAACATTTCTCAGAATTGTGTCTCAAAATGCACCAGATTGCAACTCAGCGCACATTCACTTCAAAAAATTTCCGGGGAGGCATATCCCTTTGGCGACTCGGGACTTCTCCCCCAAACGATAAATCCCTAGGGCTATGTCGCGCTAAAAACTTTTTTCTAATCAACTGAATTCCACAAATAATGGTCCAGTTTTGTTATTCATAACTACATTTAGGCATTGACGACGCACTACCCTCTACCCACCCCACGAGGCACGACTCACGATCCACCCACCACCTCCCAAATAAACAATAGGGACCTTTAACAACGACGACGGCGACGGCAAAGAAAACGTCAAAAGGTGATGTTACACGGGACGATTCGCAACGAGGAGTTTTTGCGCAACACAGCGTTGCAATGTTGGAACAATGTTGCAACCATTTGAAGCCAATGTCGCAACAATGTTGCAACGCTGTTTTACGCAAAAAATCGTCGATGCGAGTCGCCTCGTGTAACATGAGCTAAAAAACCAATAGGTTTATTAAGCAAAACAACGACTTTGCACGTGCATCACGCTTTTCCGCTGTACATTTCTTGGCCGTCATTGCACGACTGCGACGTGAAAATGCCTAGTTTTACGTTTTATGGAGAACGTAAACAAGCGACGACGAATTTTTCTTTCTCTTTCTAAACATGAGTGCCGTCTTCAAGAAATTTAGTCCAGGGAATTTCGCCTACATATGACATTTTCATCAAATTGCAGTAAACTCGACAGAGTTTGAAAAAACGCGAATTCAAGTGGCGTTTTCGCTGCTGTCGCCGTCGTCGATGCTAAAGCTCCCAGTGAGTAGAGCCGGACACAAGCGTCAGAGGAAGGCGCTCCTGGCTCTCTTCCCGCTTGGAATGCCTTCGTTCGCCTGAAAAAAGTAGACTGCAAAACAGTCGGGTTTTTTTTCTCAAAATCAGTAAAGAAATCGGTAAAGCGCGACGTAAGAGTCTTACGCGCGAGCCTCAGACGCCCGTGTGAGGCGAGAGAAAAAATAACGTCTCTCCCCAGTCTCGCTCTCTGTTGTCAGCCTCGTTCCAGACCTTTTGTTTGACTTCCGCGCGTACTTGAATTTACGCTAAAATACAGACTGTTTTGCAGTCTAGAAAAAAGCGAAAAACTAACCCCTGCTATGCAGGCTATCACACCTGGGCCAAGATCAAAGGTGGAATTTATGAAAAAACAAAAACAAAAACAAAAAAACTAGACTAGTCCAAAAGTAAAAAGAGTGGGGAAGGCCTTCTCTGTTTAAAAAACATTCGTGTTTTGAACGGAACGAATTCAAAGAGACTGTGTGGGCTGGTTAGCTAATAGTTGTCTCTGTTGAATCAATGCGTTCACTTATGAGACTTTTCACATTGATAATAAAAGTTAAAAGCAAAAACAAAAAACAAAAAAAAAATGGGTGCAGTTTTATCGTTGAACTGCATTTATTAATAGGAGGGCATAATCCTGGCCTGAAAAATAAAAATCAGGTTTGGCAATTTTTTTTTGTGTGTGTAATTAACTTCAAAAGTTTTTCGTTTGCGGGAGTCTGTTACGGGAGCAAGATCTCACGACTTTGCTCGTTTTCCTTGACGTTTCCTTTCTCGCCAAATTTAATAACCGGTTTTTCCGCCTTAGAAATGGTTCACTCGCCCAAGATTTTTTCAAAGAATTTATTTGAAATCTTAATTAACCTTATATATACAAGTCCCAAATGCCGCGAGGTGTACGTGGTAAACAAACCGGCGGGTAAACAACCGCCTTTGTTCTTGCAATTTTTTCTTGCTACATAGGCACGTGCAATAAGAAAATCCAATCAGAAATTATTATTCAAATCAGAACGTTGCTCCATGCCACATTCAAAAATTGGTCGCTTCGGTTGAGAAATCTGACGAAAGGTGCTCACGAAAGAGAAACAAGACGCACCCACATAAACTGGCTATTCGTCTTCCTCAGCAGCACTACAAGAAATTAAGCTAACTGTGGAAACATTATGGGATGTTAAAACCAGCGCCTGAGGTAAATTACTTGTTAAAGTTATAGTCAATTCGATGGACATTTGTACTGCCGTCAAGTCCAACTTCAAATTAAGTTATTTCGTTGTCGAGTGTTCTTTCTTTGAAAATAATTTATCTGTTCTCAGAGGAGAAATAGCAAGTAGAAATGTAAGCAAATGCTCAAGCAAAATTAGAAGTCCATGATTTTGAAGGCCCTCCGTACGTGTATAGTATTAAAACTGAGGTCGTACACGTGGCTGTTACTAAAAAATACGCAAAACTCAGTGGAGACCTCAACGTCCAGATGAAGAGGCCGTGCAAATGATGTCTTTCTTTTCTTCCATTACAGTTGGCTGCTAAGCAAAGGAATTTCAAGAAACGACAAATTTGATTCAATTCTGGCAGTACAACAGCGAGATTTTGACGGAGGAGTAGTATCACAAAATGAGGCCACGGCGCCATTAAAAAAAGATGGACGTAACCCCAAAAGCCTCGTAGTAAATTGTAAGAGACGTTTCCGTCGATTTTTATTTATTTAAAAAGCCGTTTACGTTTAACAGAACAAAGAAAAAGTGCCGCATACCTATTAAACTGAAGTGCTGAAGATGGAGATGTAAGAGGCCGTGCTTGTCAAGTGTTAGGGAAATTTCAAACAACTTTTATAATTTCTTGTAAACTGCTACTCGTTACTTCCTTCAATTAAACAGGTTGGAACACCTCAATTATTGCAATTCTCGATTCTTATTATAGCTTATTATGAATGGGAAAAATTCGCGAAGATCGTCACCGGGGACAGATTCATTTGATGTAACTCATCACTCGAGAGATCATCGCGTGAATACTTTGCGATACAGCCTATACAGTTATTGTGATGTTGAACATTAATTGCAAATTTATGATACTTATTATAGGAATACAAAAGATTGGCAAAGATTGTGATCAGAGCCACACCCCATGTGACATAACTTCATCACGCACGACCTCTCGCGTGATCTCTCGCAACCGAGTGTCTTATTACCAAGATGTTTGACATCGGAATAAAAAGAGTCGCAGCGATCGTCGCTAGAGCCCTGTATATATTTGGTTGGGGGTTTTTTTATTAAAAGGCGGCGTCGTGGTGCCTTGAAAAAAATTGCTTCTGGTCAGGGTACTAGACCCTTCCTTAGTCGTTGCTGAAAGTCCCTATTGGGCAGCCATGTTTTACTACTATTAGCTCAGCTTCTTATCTTTTCAATTTACAGCCGTCAGACTAGATCATCTTCCTCAGGCACAGCTCCAGATTAGACCATGAAAGCAACCAGATCGGAACCCAGATCAGACTACTACATAAGGCCATCTTCACCAACCCGACCACCAAATCAGACCATCAGATCATCAGATCATCAGATCATCACCACCAATCCAGACCACCAGCTCAGTTAACAACCCCAGACCACAGTAAACCAGCCTTGACTGCTCAGCTTCCAATCAGCACAGCATACCCAACTTCTTGTAATGGTACAGGTCAGGTGCATTCATTGTGGGTTGGGTCAAGGGGGGTATATAGAGCTCTGGATGAACCTTGCAAAGCATACTCTCCACACACGTTCGGCCTGAAGTTTCCGGACTTTTTTTCGGCTTAACTTAATTGTAGTTAGATTAGTTAGTGGGTTCCCTGGTCTGGTAAGGGCCTCCCCTTCCCTTTTTTCATAGGATGGGTTCCTTTGCAGGTGTTCGGTCAACAATAAGAGTTCGGCTTTTAGCGATAGGTTCGGCTTTTTGGATTCGGTTTGGCTTCTAGGAAACGATTCGGCTGCATCTTTTTACGCCTTTATCAGATGGACTTCGCCACCGCCGCGCCTTCATCGTCGTCGTTATCGTCGTCGTCTTCACTTCCGGCTCCCGCTTAGTTGCGCCAAATTTGAATTGATCTATCACACTTCACTTGATAGTCTATGCGCTGGTCAAGTGAAGCTTTTATCGGCAAGGTTCAACCAGACAGTGATTATTATAAGACATAACGTAGTAAACTAGAGATTTCAGGTCATTCAGCTACAGTGAGGGGACCTGATTTGGTCACTGCTTACAAGCTCAATGGTCCCTCTGGTTATAGGTAGATAGTTAGTATAGTCTCGCAAATTCGGGTCTGCTCCTACAAATTTGGCTTTTGATTTTAAACAGTGCAAATGTGAAGTGGAACAAGCACTTTAATGCGCATTTGCAGACCTCGAATTTGTGATGGTAGATCAGTTAACAGGTTTAGTCGTACAACAAAGGTAACCTGCGACCAGGCGTTTCTTCCCGCGAAGAGTCAACACCTTGTCGCAGGTTACTAGGGCAACATGGGACAATCCACACACCATAGGCTAGATCGTTTACAAATCGTAAGCGTAGGAAATCTTCGAGACC